AGGCTGGCTAAATAAGTGCCTGTGACAACTTGTGATGCTTTCCAGCCTGATTTCCATCCATATTTTTGCCTGGGACGTTCTAAATGCGCGAGTCGTCAAGATTTCCGTAACTGGTGCGAGTTGCAACAATAAAAAATTCTCTAGCTAGTGCTGCACGTCTTGGTCGTCTCGGTTCTTTGTTGGTCTATACCAAAATGTAATCGACAAAAAAAACCTGCTTGAAGCTCTCTACTTTTTTCACCTATTACGTCCAAGCTGATTACATTGTTTTGTGATTATATTTCTATTACGTTACTAGAGCCTCGCACACTAACTCCCGAGTGTGCAATGCAAAATTAAAATGATACCCAGAAACCCGTTGCAGGTGCCCTGAAGTCGCTCACGCAAATTTTGAGGAATGTATTTGAAAAAGTATTTGGAAGAGACCAAATACATTTGGGTGTATTTGTATCTTGTACTTAAATGCATTTTTGGAAATGTAATTAGATTTGTAATTAAATACATTTTTGACGAAGTATTTTCTATTTGTATTTCGATACATATTTGCATGTATTTTGCCCATCCCTGCTTGGAAGGATGTGCAAAGTTAAAAGATCGATGTCACGAAAACTTGGTCACGGAAGTGACGTTACACAGATAACACCGGAGCGCCGACTGAATAGGTGACCGGCGTTTGGCAGCAGCTGCCCTATGGGTATTATTTACTTCCAGTTCGTACCTAGCAGCCGACACACCACCATGGCGGTTATGGAAGCATGTGTTGAACACCCAATAAATTTGACCCACCTCTATCTGCTGCTGGTTGAGTTACGAATTTCTGATCGCCTCAAGTTACTTTTACAGATATGTTAAATAGGAATTCGTATGCAGAAGCACCGAGAATGGCCACGAAAGCGTGGAGTGAGTGCAACCAGTGGCAATCTGCACTTGCACTGCACTTTCCAAATCGCAGTGATGTGATTGGCCTAAGCCGTTCTGGAGCACCTTTCGGAGCAGACAAAACAGTGTTTTGGAGCAGCAAAATCGGCCTTTGGAGCAGCCAAAACATTGTTTTGGAGCAGCCAAATCAGTGTTTTGGAGCAGCAAAAGTGGCTTTTGGAGCAGATATTCTTAGAAAAATATATATATTTCTTTTAAGTGCTGGACAGATGAAGGGCACTTTGCTCGCCGCAATAAACAAATTATGGTCAAGTTAGACCAGCTCGGAGTCTTTCAACATGTTAACCGAAATGCCAATGACATGACACATTTTGCAATGCTTCAGTTAAATGATAAACATATGTACGTACCCGCTATCAATAAATAAGAGCCAAACTGCACATATTAAAATTTATTTGAAAATGACCAGCTCAGTAGAAAATATCACAGCATTAGGTTTACTAGTTATATAATAGAATAAAGCGAAGCAGTCTCCAACTGATCAAACACCTAACTACTGCAGTGCAAAGCGGAACTGTACACAAGAAAAAGTTGCATTACGACTAGCAGGTGCTTTTCGTTTCGCTTTTCGAAACTTTCTGCAAGGGTGCTGCAAGCCTCGCTTTGCCTTCGACAAGTAATGAATGTCCAATTTCAATGTCTCCAAAGAGACATTGAGACATCCCGCTGCAGGCGTTGCCAAGCAATTCCGTAAAACCGCTTGCCAACATTTTACTGTTCCCGACGTGCCAGATTTTCGTTAAAATAAGCAAACGTAAAGCAATGGATTGCAAACGACCCGGCTGGTGCCTTTCTCGTGCAATAATGTTCGCATGCACGTGAGGGCAACTTCGGCAGCTTGCAGTCGCATGTGCTTCGTCGCGCGAGCGGAGACGGCTGTTCAATCGAAACCGAAACCATGCCACTCCGCTCCCTCGCCAACTGGTTCCCAAAATTGTATACAAAATGTAACTGTCCAGCAGCGCGTGCTTGCCAGGCCTGCAGACGAGATACAAGCTAAACTCACCGAAAAAAAAAGAGCCTGAGCGCGTCGATGCAAGACTTGGCGAGCCAGGGTCAAAAAGTTGGAGCGCTTTGCGCAACGACTGAACTTGAGACAAACAAATGCGCTGTGCGGGTTCAGCGTGCAGACATTGCCTTCCTTGCTTTAGCTCACTTCTCTTCACCAACTTTCTTTTGCGGCAGATTTTTTTACGTACCCGGGTTCCTCTCGAAAGGAAGCCCACCGAGAGAAACCTAGGTAATCAATACTTCGACACAGCTGTCTTTGAGTTAAAGAGGGACTTTTATAGTAACGTATGATTTAAACAAGAACAGGAATGTTGTTGACCTTGCGGAGGTCCTTACGTTTCAGTTTAGAAAGCGCCATATCCGCAGCGACGTGGGCACGGCAACGCCCGACGTCATGACACCACGGTGACTGGTAGGCAGGGACCAAATATAGTTTTCCGACAACCATTGCTTTGAGTCCATATCACATGAGCGAATGATGTTTTAGCGGAGAGCAATAATTGAGCGAATCGACGTTTTAGAGAATAACAAAAGCGCGCGTTAATCCCCCCCCCCCCTCTCCCGCCACGGCCGCCGCCGCGCGCTGCGCTTACGACGCTTTGCGGCGACAGCCTGCGGCGGCTCATTGCAAAAATGTGAACCCACTTGGCCCACCCCAAAACGCCACTTTGCGGCGTCCGACAATTCGCTAAAGTGTCATTCGGTGAAATGTGGGCATTCGCTAAAACGTCATTTGATCAAGTGAGTGCCTCCCTACGGCATGGCTGTACCCGGCACGCTAGCGTCGAAGCGTCTGCACACGCTTGCATCAGCGCTTGCATCTATCGTTGTAAAAATTTTATAGACGCGAGACGAGACCCACGAGACGACTAGGGCGCAAAACGAGAAACGGCGAGAAAAACCATGCAAGACCGGATGGACGATTGATGCAAAGTACTTTGTGTCGGGCGGCCGCTTACGCCAGCTAGCTCAGACATGCTCAATTACGGTATCCAGTTTAGTTTCGGTTTTGAAAGGCGACCGAAATTGGTGCTTTGGTGCAGCCTTGGCGCAGATTACCCATTTTTCGGTAAAATGTAGCAGAATGTATCAGGGTTAACCCCTTGGCGCAGTTTGGCGCAATTGGCGCAGCAATCACATCACTGAAATCGTCACATGAAAACTCGGGCTAGGTTAGCTATTTTGTTTTTCTTTTGAGCCAGCGTTCTTTATTGGGTTTTGTTTATTTTTGATGGTTACGCTAGATCACATCACCCACTGAAATAGGTGCAAATGGAAGCCGTGGGTCACGGCTAGCTGAAATGCCCAATTGGAGCTTTGGCGTATTTTTCTCATTTTTTAAAACCCCTAAGACTAGGTGAGAAAATCTTGAAACAACCAAAAGTTGAAGACAGGAAAAAAAAGACAGTCTGATGACGTCTCAAACTTTTTCTCAAACAAACAAACAAATTTCCCGTTGCCATTTGTATGCCTGCAATAAGAAACAAGCCCGCTTTTAACGAAAAGCTACAGGAGGCCCGCCACAGATAGAGCGAAAAAAAGCTACAAAACACATTGTAAAATCCCGTGAAAATGCTCACCCAAAATGAAGCGATATATGGTGAAACACATGGGGCGGGCTATCTTTCGGGAGGCCACAGCAAAACTTTAATAAAAATTAATGATAAGCACCGGGGCACCCGCTACAAACCACGCGACGCAGGAACTGATACCGCAGATGGCGGACACGGGAAATTTGCGTTTCACGATAGAATAGACACACGGGAATTCGCTACAAACTCCTGTGTCATGGAACTCCTGTGTCCTGCGTCCGCGACCACAGATCGCGGACGCAGCAGATTCAAGTTTTATGGTGCAATAAAGACGCGGGAACCCGCTACAATCTTGCCTGTCAAAAAATTTATATCGCGCGCAGATCGCGGACAAAAACGCGGAAATACGGTACAAACTCGCATGTCACGGAAACAAATACCGCAGATCGCCAGAATCTCATTTCACAATGCAATACCGTGTACACATGGGAACAACTTGCGCGTGTTACAGGTAACAATTGATGTCGCGCACGCAGATCTCGACAAAAGCACAGGAATTTGCTACGAACTCTGGACTGGATAGCACAAATTGCGAACGCAACAGGTTCGCATTTCGCGATGCAATATACACGTGGGAACAACTCGCGTATTACGGGAGCCGATATCACGCGAGCAGATTGCAGACAAAAATGCGGGAGCCCGCTATGAACTAGCTTCTTGGACATACCGGTAACGCAGATCGCTCTGTTGATGCGCGATTCCTGTCGAACATTGCTTGACGTCCAATGGAAATCGGGGGGTGGGCGATGTTTCAGGAGGGGGCTTCCTTACGGTATTTTACGGTACTCAAATTAAGTGAAAAAAAAAAAAAAGCTATTTACAGAATATTTCTACAAAATAACCACAAAAACAAGCAACTGCGTACCGATTTAACGCAACTAAGGCGACCGCCACGTTTTGTCTGAGCGAGAGAGGAATTCGTGTTGTTCGTTAAGTTGTCTTCTCCGCAATACGCATGACGTGCACCATTGCGCATGTTGTGCGGGAAATTTTGGGTCTTCGGCCATTCCCGTCTGCCCCGAAGGTGTTTTTTCTCCTCCGCTTAGCCATCCGAGTACCGACCTACTCGAAAGTACACGGACTACACGAAACCCTACCTGACTGAACCTATCGCTGCCGACTATGACTATCCCTGGATTCTGTGAAATATGTCACTCCCTGAACCACCAACAATAAAAAGAAAGGTCCCGTCACTGAAGGTGAAATGGACCCTCCTGAAGATGTTCGGCTTTGCTCGAAGAAATCCGCGATTGCCAAGAAGTATGAGGTAACTCCGTTGACACTGTCAACAATAATTAAGAACGCCGACAACATTGACACGGTGCTAGACAACAATGCTACCTGCGCAGATCGCAAGAAACTACTCAAGCCAATATACGAGGATGTCGAAGCCACACTCTTTCAATGGTTTCTGGACACGTGTGCCAAGAGCGTCCCAATCAGCGGTCCGATTCTTACCGACAAAGCGTGCAACCTGGGGTTCATCTTCGGGCACGACTTCACGCCTGGAACCGGCTGGTTGCAGAGGTTTAAGGACCGACACAGCATCACCTGCAAAAGCATTGTTGGCGAGGCTGCGTCTGTCGACGATACGGTACTCCAAGGTTGGCTGAACAAACATCTCAACCGAATCTTCGTCATGCATGCCGACTGCGACATTTATAATGCAGATGGGATGGGAGTGCTCTTCCAGCTGCTCCCGGCCAAGACGCTTCCATCAAAAGACGACAAGTGCGTCGGCACCAAGACGAGCAAGGAGCGTGTCATGGTCCTGGTGTGCGCGAATACAGACGACAGCGAGAAGCGCAGGTTGCTGGTCGCCGGAAAATCCCATAAACTGCGGGGCTTTGCTGCCATGGTTTCGCTTCCTGTGACGTATGTGCAAAATGGGAAGGCGTGGACGACATGGGAGCGCCTTCGGACATGGTTGACCATCTTTGACAACTACGTGGCGTGCAAGAAATGGAAAGTTGTGCTTCTGCTAGATAACTGTAGTGCACATCACATCAATCCTCTGCTTAACGCCGTGGAAGTCCTCTTCCTGCCGCCAAACACCACGCCCAAGCTTCAGCCGATGGATGTTATTGCCAACTCAAAGGTCTATTACCGTCGCTGGGTTGTCCGAGCGTCTCCTCGTCAACCTACGGACCAACGTGACACCGAAGGACCGCAAGGTGACATTGGCCAAAGCTGTGCAAATGGTCAATGGCACGTGAACGGATGTGAGGAGCAACGCGATCGCACATTGCTTCAAAGGTTTTTCCCGAACCAGGCTGCCCGACTCTGTTGCTGTGGGCAACAAAGCGCAGAGTCACTTTGTTGCCCACAGCAGCAGTCACTGAAATGTGTGCGCTGCTGGAACGGCTCTGAAAAAGTGTGGCCAAGGATCAACTTGTACCGTCTCGTGTTGACCTTGTCAGCTTCCTCAGAACAGAGGACAACGTTGTGGCCACCGAGAACTTGACTGATGAAGCCCTCGCGAACTGTGACCCGAGGCAGGTAGCGAAAGGGACAAGAGTGACGACAACTTTGCGAAAAAGTCAGTGCCCGCCGGAATGCCTCTTACCGCAATGAAACCCTCCGAGACTACTTCGCTGGTGCCAAGCAGGTCGCACTTGGACAAAGCCTTTTCCTGCACTTGGACGCAATCGTCCAAGCGATCGTGAAGACATCCCTTACGGAGCGCGTACAGTCGCGAATCGACGGCTGTTTTGGAAGGCATTAAAATCGCGTGGTGAAGCAAATGATTTCTCGATATTTTTTTTAAGTTCACACATACCAAAAAACGAATATAGCGAACTGATTTTAGATTGATGCGGCATTCGTTATAGGTGGGCTGTACTGTTTAGCAAGCTGCCACTTCGCGGACACTCTACGGCAGCTCATTACAAAAAAAGTTCATTTGAGCTGTCGATGTAACGGTTAGACGGCCTGTCGATGAAACTGTATGTTGACGAAACATTGTGCAAAAATATTGCTTTTATTTTGCTGGCACGCGTTTCTCGCCGAAATAAATGTTGCACGTGCCCCCAACGTCATTTATTCTTTTTTGACAATATTAGGCTTAGCAGGATGTCAGCTCGCAGATAAATTTCTTCTTTCTCTTTCATTTATTCATCCGGCTAACATCATGGTCTCAAACTTCTGCGTCCCATCCCAGCTGCTAGCATCATAATCTCGCGGGGTTTCAGCTTTCTGCCGCACATTGTTCCTTTCAATTTGAATAAACTATGCATGGCAGAAAAGAATAAGCTACGCACGCATTACGAGTTCAAAATTCAAAGTAAAATTCGGACTCGGCGCAACAGAACACATAGCACCATCATGTAGATGTCCGAAGAAACACAGTTTTGGTTCAGATTTCATTTTTCGCTCTCTTCCAAATTGGTAAGCTATGAGAAATAAAACTCTGCTTAGTGGTGGCACTCGTTAAACATGGCCCCCCGCTGATATTGGGGACTGCTACAAAGACAGTTTCAATTGCACAATTTAACTGCTTATACTGGTTGTCTCCGTAACGACAGCAGCAGCGAAGACCATGGATTATGTTGGATTACTTGATTTGAGCTAGTCCAGCAACGTTTCCCCTCCGAGGTGTAGAATATTGACAGGTGCTCGTCGGAGAGCGTTATTCTAGCTTTCTAGGTTGTCCCAAGCAGGGGCACATACTTTATATGTGCCGCAATCCGTAAAAACAGCAGCAGAGGATAAGTTAGGGCAGTGTTATACAAACCAAGGTCTCGTGCAAAAAAGAAAGTGATATGGAGGAAATACAGCTCCGCAGGCAACAGCTTCTCTCAATGGCATGACACCACAGAAGCACACTTGCCAACGAACCAAAAAAAGATGGTATCAGTTAGTGCTCCCTACTTTACAGAAGTGATGGTGGTGAAAATCGGGTGCACTTTGTATATTTAGGATTTTTAAAAATCACAGCACAACTTGGTAAACCCACAAATGTTTAAAACTTTTGTTCACATTTTTGGACAAATTCCAACTTCAGTATTTAAATTTGACAAACTATTTTTAGACATTAATGTGAACTTTTTTTCTTCTAAAGAGCAGCTTATAGGCTAGATTTGTAATTTGTTATTAAAATGAAAAGGGTTTTGTCTATCTGGCGAAAATTATCTTTGAAAACATGCTAGCACATATAGACCTGGACAAGGGGGAAGAACAATACAACACAATGCACCAACTTCTGACTGTTTAATCCTCAGATATATAGAGGAATACAGTATAGACCACTTACAACGTAACCGCTTATAGTGCAGGACCGGGTATAACGCGGTTTTTTTAAACCACCGGTTCACCTCCCATAGAACTCCATGTAATTACATACCGCTTAAAATGCAGGCGCGCGAAAGGAAATACCGGTTATGGTGCGGTTTTTGGCAGAGCCCGCCGACCGCGCCGACGACCGGAGCAGCGAGCTCGCTTCCCTGTGCGACACTAGATAACGGCGCTGACGGCGCGGGCCGCACGCTGCACTAGCGGGGCAAGGATGTTGCTCGAAAAAGCGGGCAGAAGCGAAGAGAGAGGCTTCAGTTGCCTTAGCGACGGAGGGACGCACGCACGTGTCGTTCACGTGCGTGCGTCCCTCCGCTGCGTTGGAAACAAAGAAACAAACAACCGCAACGACAGACCAATCGCAGGTCGAGAAGTGTTCGCGCGCGTTGCATGCTCTCTCCTTTCCGCCCAACCTCTCTTACAACGCTTCTCCTCCTCCTCCTCCTCTCCAGTCGCGGGTCGGCTGCTTCTATCCGTAAACATGAAGTCGGTTGTGATCGTCGTCGTAGACGGCGTTCATCTCATCGTTCTGCGTAAAAGCGCTATCCTTGACTGTGAATTTTCGTTGTGTGTCGCTGTGATAACCCAGCACGTAGTACTAGAAGGGAAGATCCACCTACTCGTGCGGCGATGTCGTGGCGGCGCTCTCAAGACGGCTGAAACGCCCGTGTCGTCGTGTTTGTTTACTTCGGCTACAGTGGTGATTTCTAAGCATTTGTGTCCTCGAACATCGCCCGGATTTCTTATTTGGCGCATTTCATGCGTGTGCTCAAGTTCAAGGTATTACTGGCGCGTACGTATGAAGGATGCGAATTTTCACGCGTTTTCATCTCCGGAGAAAAGTGATTAGGGTTAGCAATCCTGAACGCTCGCAACGTCCGTCCGCAACTCGCGACGCCGTTAAAAGGCTGCGCCAGGCAAAAGCCGCTCATTTCTTTCAAAATGTGTGACACACTTGAGACAGAACTGTACTAGTCTGGTGAAATAAAGACTTTCCTCAAACTAAGCTTTATTTTTCATCTAACATAAAAATAAATTCTTTTACAAAGGTAAGTTGTTTCATGGCATGTATTTTGGCCTGAAAAATTGATGTTTTGGTTATAGCGCGGTACCGCTTATAGTGCGGATTTTCGCGACTCCCGAGACATACGTTATATGCGGTCTACACTGTATATCCTCTTCGTTATTGCGCCACTCTACCAAGCCTGTACCCCGCTGCTGCTCGCAAGAGCGGTGTCTCTTTAACCACCAGGTAAATCGAAGCTGCGCTTTTTGACTTGATCAAGTCTGCCTCTACATTTCCTCTTAGCGTTTTATCTTTAAAGGACAGATGCAAAGGAAAAAAAACATTTTTTTAAACAGCCCGGTTGGGAAAAGAAAGCCATAAAAAAACAAGAATCAAAGACATAAAACGAATTTACATTTTAGAGCTATATTTACGGAACTATACAAATTTGTAGTTCGTGCCCGCGGGCGCTACGGAGAAGTGGCCGCTATTTATCACGTGACTGGCCTGTATTTGTCACGTGGTGCTTGTGCTCTTTCGGAAGCTTCCTATGGTCTCTAAAAGTTACCTATTCATCTTCGTTTGAAGTGCAACAAAAAACGAAGATTAATAAGTAACTTTTAGAGCCAGAAGGAAGCTCCTGAAAAAGCGCAAGCAGATGCGATAGACCTATGCGCCGGTCAGATGACGGCGGCGGCACCCCGGAGCAGACGAACTGGCGCAGCAGCAGCAGCGGCGGTGTGAAGAAACGCATTGAACCGGCGTCGAGCCACGCTCAGCGTGCGGCGGCGGCGTGACTTTAAGGAGGCAGCTGCGCCACGCGACAGCGTGACCCACGCCGGCTCCCGCGGTCGCCAACTACAAATTCGTTTTGCGCCGTAGATATAACTCTAAAAATTTTTTTTCTTCTTTGTAAATTCGTTTTATAACATTCTTTTTCCATCTAAACTGTTTAAAAAAAAATGCTTTTTTCCTTTGCATGTGTCCTTTAAGCCTACTGATAATCGGACATGTAGTGAACATCAGTTTGCACCTGCATTCATGACAATGCATCGACAATTGGCCATCTCGATGGCTGCTCCGTTTTTGGTTGTGTTTGTGTAATCTATCCTTAGCACACCTTCCTGCCTGGCCTACGTATTTCCTGCGACACACCAACAGGATCTGATCTACGACTTCTTCTCCGCATGCAACAAACGCGCTCTGGTGCTTCTTCAGACAGCCTACGGGAGCATTTCTGAAAGGGTTCGCACAT